TATTCAAAGAGCAGATAGGGAGAAACGTCAAAATCTATGTCGACAACATGGTTGTGAAGAGTCTTAGGGCTAACCAGCACACCTCAGACCTCAGCGAGACATTTGGGGTACTAAGAAAGTACAACATGAAGCTGAACCCCACCAAGTATTCCTTTGGAGTCACCTCGGGAAAATTCTTGGGTTTTATAGTCACTCAACGAGGCATAGAGGGCAACCTTGAGAAGATACAAGCCATACTAAACATAGAACCCCCTTAGTCAATCAAATAAACTCAAAGGCTCACTGACTGAGTCGCAACCCTTAGTCAATTACATTGACAAGGTGCTCCATGAAGCCAAGACCAGATATTTAGAAGTAGAAAAAGTAGCCTTTACACTAGTGATCTTGGCCAGGAAGTTGAGGCCTTACTTTCAAGCCCACAACATCTCGGTGTTAATCGACCGACCCCTCAAATCGGTGCTCTCTAAACCTGAGACCTAAGGTCAGCTAACTAAATGGGCTATTGAGTTGTTGGAGTTCGACTTACACTACCAACCGAGACCTGCTATAAAGGTGTAAGCATTGACAGACTTCTTGGTTGAATGCACCTTCAACCACGGTAACATCCAGGCCCCTGACCACGAGAAAGAGCAATCACCAACTAGGACTTTGTTTGTAGATGGATCCTCCAATGCCAAGGGAAGCAGAACCGGCCTCATACTTCTCACCCTAGATAGTAGCGAGCTAGAGTATGCATTGCGGTTTGGTTTCCCTACTTCCAGTAATAAAGTTGAGTACGAGGCCTTGCTAGATGGTCTCTAACTCGCAAAAGACATCGGAAGCAAGTGCATCAAAGTCTTCAGCGACTCATAATTGGTTGTGAACCAGGTGAATGGAAAGTATGAATCCAAAGAGCCAAATATGCCCAGGTACTTGAACAAAGTCCGAGAGCTAACTAGCCACTTCCAACATTTCGCCCTGCACCAAGTCCCATGGGCTGAGAACACACAAGCTGACAATCTGTCAAAACTTGCTAGCTACTCAGGGTCAGCCCTTGGCCGCATTGTGCACATTGAAAGCTTGACATATCCTAGTATTGAAGAGAGGCAAGTGTGCCTCGTCCAAGCTGAGCCTTGTTGGATGGATCCCATTCTCGCCTACTTGCAACATGAGCAGTTACTATCAGACAATAATGAGGCAAGGAGAGTCTGATGGCAGTCAGCACGGTACACCATACTCGAGGGCAAGTTCTAAAGAAGATCCTTCACCCTATCCTATCTAAGATGCCTACGCCGAGACGAGGGTGAGTATATGCTAAGAGAAATCCACGAACGCATCTGTGGCAATCATYTAGGGGTAGAGCCCTGGCATAGAAAGCACTCAAGCAAGGATATTTTTGGTAGACTATCCAAAAGGACACTATTGAGTTGGTACAGAAGTGCAACTGATGCCAAAGTCATTCCAACATCCTTCATCAGCTTGCAATGACCTTTTCGGCGCTCAGGAGCCCATGGCCCTTTGCAAAGTGGGGTATAGACCTTTCCCCTTGGCCATAGGAAATAGGAGATACCTCATCATGACAGTAAACTACTTCACCAAGTGGTTCAAAGCTGAGGCCTTGGCGATCATTACGGATAAAACGATCCAAAGCTTCTTCTAGAAGAGTGTCCTCTGTCGGTTTAGGATCCTACACATGCTCATCATCGACAATGACTGACAATTTGACAATGCCAAGTTCAAAGAATGATGTGAAAGCTTGGGGATAAGGCAACAATACACCTTAGTCGACTACCCTCAAAATAACAAGTTAGCCGAGGTCACCAATAGGACAATCTTAGACAGACTGAAGGCAAGATTAGACAGAGCCAAAGGGCTTTGGGCAGACGAACTGTACAACATTCTCTAAGCATATCGAGTGACACCTCGGACTACCACAAGTGAAACCCCCTTCAACCTGACATATGGGGCAGAGCCTGTTATCTCAACAGAGATTGGTCAGCCGACGCTTCGAACCGAGGCCTTCCAGGAAGCTAAGAACAGTGAAGAGTTGAGGAACAACCTTGACCTATTGGAAGGTGTCTGAGAATAAGCCCAAATCAGGGTTGTGGTATACCAACAAAGAGTTGAAAGATATTACAACTCCCGAGTCAAAAAGAGTCACTTCAAGGAAGGTAGACTCGTCGTTAAAAAAGTCATGGTCCCTAAGCCTGATGTCGAAAAACTTGGCCCAAACAAGAAATGACCCTACATAATCAAGCAATTAGTAGGACCTGACACCTTTTAGCTAAACACACGAGTGGAAGACCGATACCTCGCACTTAAAACTCTGAAAATCTTCAAATATATTATCAATAGATTTATAAATACTTTATTAGAGAGCATAATTAATCTCATAGAATTCAGCCACTCATTTTGTTGGATTGAACTACAGCCTTGGATTTTAGCTCAAACATTATGAATTGCACGTATTAACCATTAGAATATCCATTGGGTTCCTCTTATAGGTTGTGCTTATTACCCAAAATAAAAAACTAAGCAAAAAAATAACTGTTTTGCATTGGGTAGCTCTAGTTCATATTGACTATTAAGCTTTGTGAGGAGATGGCCAATGTGAGGTCATTAATTAATAGTCGAAGAAGATATTGGTGATAAATGGAGTTGAGTCTTCGTTAAACAGTAAATAAAACCCATATTCTACACCTTAGATACATAAAAAAATATATGATTCATGCAGAGAGACCATATATGGATTTAAACGGTTTCATATGTTTCTAGTTTGCACTAGAATTTGTTTATATATTCATGTATTTGTAATTTGCACCGTAATTCAAGGGGTAAAAATGGCAAGAAATGAAAAAATTAACAACTTATTCAAGAAAGTAAAGAACATTGAAAAGTTGAAAAGTTTCATTTACTTAGATAAATTAAAAAAAAAAGATCATGAGTAAGTGGATTTACCTAGGTAAATCTGCCTCTTGATAGACGATACATATATATACACCCATATATTATATATGCAATATTTTGAATCTTGATTGGACGTTGGTTAGGGTGACCAGTGGACTTGGTTGGCCCAGGTCCTGCCCGCCAAACATGAGTTTTAGGCCTCCTAGCTTGACYTATAATTGACCTTTCCATGTCTCAAGGACCCAAAGTCCGGTTATAAATACATACATGCACATGCATGCAATGATACAATGCATTAAATGAAATTGGAAAGATAGATTTTTTATGTTCAAAGTCTGTCACATATGGGTTGTATTTAGGGGTGAGCATTCGCTTTATTTGGTTTAAAACCGAACTGAAAAACCGAAATTTTTAAAACCGGTATAATAAGATGGCAAATCGAACTGAAACCGAAATATATAGAAACTGATTAAACTGAACTGAATTTTTTTTCAGTTATTTTGGATATTTTAGTTAAAACCGAAATTAAGAATAAGAAGAAGACACCCTCAACGACAAGCCAACAGCCAGCAGAGGTAAAGAAGACGCAACGACTGCTGACAGAGGCAAAGAAGACACAACAGCAGACGGCAACCCGCAGCCGTGGCACTGAGCGGTTGATACTCAACAGGACAGGGAAGCCTCAAGGGATTGACATTGCAACATGYTGGAGATCGGTTCTAGGAGGCACGAAGCAGTTTCAAGATGGACGATCGATTCCTATCTTTTGCAAAAGAGAAGGGAACAGGAGGAGAGTAAAAGACGAAGTGACGAACTGATTGAAGAGAGGGTTTATGAAGGCGTGACGTGTAAAACCAAGTGGGATCCACAATGAGTAGCAAGTTGGCAATCTAATGGTAGTAAATGTACTACCCTATTGATTATAGGTAATTAATTGTGATAGATGTCCACTATAGGCAGGCACCAATGGTCCAACCCACCCACCGCCCYTGCTTTTGCTTTCTTTTCTTTAGCTGCCTTGCTGAACCGAACATGGGGGAGACGAGACCGGACCGTCCCGCATTCAATAAGACCCTCTTTCCAATACTAGTTTTTGGTTGGCACCTTGAGTAAATGATAAATTCAAATGACACAAATTCCCCCTAAACCGAAAACCGAAATATAAAATAATCGAATAATAAAATCAAATCCAATTGAAAAATTGATTAGACGGAAACTGAAATTTTGATTTGATTTTTCGGTTTTAACCAAATTATGCTCACCCCTAATTGCACTTTCATTTGAGTCCAGAGTGTTGAGACGATTTTGCAACAGGGCCGGTCAGAGCCCAAGTAACAAGGATTTTTTTTTGTTCTTTTGTTTATTTTCATAGGGCTATACAACGGTGGGAAGACCACCCCTTAAGGGCAACCCATGACCCCCCAACCTTGGTGCATGTAGGATTCGATTCCAAGCAAGAGGCTTTACCAACCAACCAGGTGGCACCTTGCACCCTTATACGGGTCACTATTGCCGGACCCAATAACTATAATACAATCCATTCACAAATTAGACCCTAATTTTTCAATCATGATTTTAAAAGACAGAAAATCACCTGGCATTGGTAGTCTAGTAGTTGATATAGGGTTTAGGTCTCAAAGTGTTACAGGTGTATGCCTTTGTCCTTGTGCCTTGTCATCTCATTTTTCATAGGGGGTGCAAGTTTGACAGGTTGAGCCAGGTTAAGCTAAACTCAGGTCACCTAAGAGTTAGACTTAAGCCCAAACCTTAAGCATGATCTTTCCAACCTGAGATCAGCCCGTACTAAAATTTGATGCATTTTAGGTTGGTTTCTAAATCAATTCACATTTGGGTTGGGTTGAGCTCGGACCAGACTTGTATTGTCCAAAGACATGGCTCAACCTGGTGCAAAAATTAAAAGTATTCAAAATTTCGGGCCCATGCCCAGCCTCAACACCGAAATTCCAAATACAGCGTGGGTAAAACTGTCGGATGGGTCGGGCTGGGCTTGGGTTAGGCCTACCGATTTGAAATGAAAATATCCGCTATAACGATCCCATTAGAGCAATATAAAAGATTTCGATCGTAATTCGTAAGGATCATATAATCTGATAGACCATGTGCCACCGCACTTAGCTGCACTATTTTGTTTGTCTTCCCTCCCTCATAAAACGAGGGAAGTGGGTTTTCAGACCATAGAACGAGAAGAGGATTCATCAAAATCTGAGTTAAGAACATCAACCTTTGTAGTTCGTTTATCTTTTAAACACTGATTTGGGTTTAAGAAATTTTGCGAGGACATAGAAATTAGTTTGCTCTTGTTCCTTCCTCCCCTTGTGTTCATGTTTTTTATGCACAATTTTTTTTTTTTTTTTCCCCAGAGCTTGTTACTATTTTTGTTACTGAATATTGATCGTTGATCGCTGAATATTGGCTTTGTTTTTTGAATCTAACTGCAAATATCATCATGGGTTTCAATTGCATTTGGGAACCCCGGTTCCCAATCTACGATGAATCTATTTCTTGTTGTTTAGAAAAGATATGGTTGAATTCTCTTTAGGGTTTTATGAAGTGAGCTCGTCTTCTTCTCAACTCTTATCAACCACTAGAAACAACCGCATTTGGGATGAGGACATTATTCGCTCAAATCCTGTTGAAACTAATATGAGATGATTTCACCTCATTGGTGAATCTTTTCATTGTATGATGCATTTAAATTTTTAGATACAAATCTTCTTCTTTGGGAATCTTGTTTATTGGTTAATGAACATTGTGTGTTTTTTGTTCAATATTACCATTTTGCTTTGTTGTATTGCAACGATGTTCTGTTTTGTGTAATTAATGAAAGAAAAAAGGAGTGGAGGGTGGGTGGTATTCTCTAAGTTGCTAGAGTTTCTAAATTTTAATACCACGGGTCTAGGTTCAAAGTTTTTCTTCATGTAATATCATGTTAATTTTTATCTTAATGACATTTTAACCAAGGTTTCTTAAATCTCACTGTTTACCACTAAGCCATTAAAGGTCCAGCAAAGATTAAAGCAGTTGAACTATCTGTTAACTAGTCTGGTTGATCAAATCATAAATGAAATTATGATATGAAAGAATGAGAAAACATACTATCTCCTCATCTGTGTCTTTCATCAATCCAGTCATGCATTAGAAGAAATATAACATGTTCAAATATCATGCTAAATTTTTCTTTTCTTTTCTTTTTTTTTTTGAGTGAGTAGCCAAATCTGTCCAGGGTGGACAGCAAGGAAGGTACATAAATAAAAAACGGCTAAAAGTTGATCATAAAAATACAAAAAGAATACTATCCAGATTACAATTGGACCCCTGAACCAGGCATTCCCCAAATACACCCTTGACAGTTGACACCAGCTCTAGCTAAACTATCAGCAAGGGAATTATCTAATTTTGGGACCCACTTAGATGAGCAGTTCAGGTTTCTTCCCAGATATTTGGCTTCCCTAACCAGAACTGTGAACTTCTATGTTGATTCTGTTTTAGTGTTGGGCCATGAGATGACTACTTTGCAATCACCATCAACGATCATTGCCATCCAATTCTATAGTGTCAATAGTTTGAGTCATTTTATCACTACCAACAACTCATCCCTCAATGAGTTACCAACATCAACTGCACCTAGGGGTGTTCACGGGTCGGGTTGGGTCGGTTTGAGTCATTTTATTCAACCGACCCGACCTAGTCGGTTTACTTATTGGCTAAACTGAAACCGACCGGCCCTGAAGCAAAACTGACCCAAACATGAAGGGTTGGTTTATCGGTTTAATTGGTTTTTATATATATTTTAAACTAAAATATCTATTTATATTTAAGTTTATTTCTTTTTAGTTTTTATGCAAAATCAAATTATATATTTAAATCAATTAACTTTTTATGCAAAACTGATTTTTTTGTCAATATATATTTAAATTTATACAAAACTGAATTAAATATTGTACCATTGCATTATATTTGTATTGGTTTTACGTTTTTAGTTTTTATCATAAATAAGTATTTTTTTTTCAAAGTTCAAACAAAACACAAATAAAATATATCAACATTTAACATATAGGGTAGGGACTAATTAATAATTACTTAAACATATAGGATCAGTTCGATTTAGTTTTGGTTCTCATGTATAAAAACCGAAACCGAACCGAGTTGTCGGTTTATTTTCTCATACAAACCAAAACCGACCGGTGGTTTTGAAAAACTGACCAACTCGGGTTGGGTCGGGCCGGTTTGACATTTAATGTGAACACCCCTAACTGCACCACAGAAACTTATCTTGATGGTGCCAATCACAACCCTTACTGTACCACCAACCCTTGATTGACCAGGATTACCCATAAAACATTCATCAAAGTTGAACTTAAAGCTTCTAATTTGAGGTGGGTGCCAAGCAATCCTTCTCCATGGGCTTCCCCCTAGAGAGAAGCATCCCAATAGAAAATCACGATTTCCTCTTCCTTTGGTTCATAGGTGTTGATAACTTGGAGATAATCTTCCCAATAGAAAAATCTTGACTTTCGGAACCCAAATGGAATTCCATGGAAAAAGGCAGTGTGAAGCTGGGTTTGGAGAATTTCTAACAATTTGAGGAAACATAATAAACACCAAAAGAACAAGGAGTCCATATTCTCTCATCTTTGCATGAAAAAAGGGATGAACACAAGGTTAATGTAATGGATAAAAATTTGGAGCAAGGAAACCTTCAATCCCTTGAAGGTAGAAAAAGTGGAAATTTGGAGCGAACTAACAATTTTGGATAAAAAAGAATGTAATGGTTAGTTAGATAGAGAAGAAAGAGAAAGGAGGAAGGAAGTGCAAGCCGGATGGGAGGATGTGGTTAGAAGGGAAGAATTTTATTGGAAACAAAAATCTAGATGTCAGTGGCTAAAAGAGGGTGATGGCAATACTCGTTTCATTCACAGATTGGCAAACAGCAGAAGAAGAAAAAACTTTATCTTAGACCTACAAGTTGGAGGCTGTTGGGATAGTTTACTTTCCATTTATGTTTTTATTCTGCTTAGTTAGGGTCTGTTTGTTCTGTTCAAAATATATTTTTTATCACTTTTTTTGTACTTTAACTTCAGCAAGGGCACAAGGGTCTTTTCCCTTTTAATTATGGTCTAATCTGGCGCCACCAGACTTAGTTCTGTTCACCAAACAACTCTCTCTCTCTCTCTCTCTCTCTCTCTCTCTTTCCTTCTACTTGTTTCCTACTGTTCATTCTCTATTGAGATGATATCAGAGTAGTTCTATTGGGTTTGAAAGCAGATTGAACAAGGTTTTTCCTCTTCATCTTGTTGTCTTCTTCAGACTGAGATTAGAAAATCTTACCTACGACTAGTACAAGTTTTCTATTTTTTTTTTATCTCACTTATTTTGGTCGTGTACCAAGAGAAAACTCTATGAAGCAAGTCTGTTGAATGTTGTCAGAAAAATTGTGAGGTTCAGACCTCTTTTCTGTGGATCGTGTGATCCTGTACCTGAGAAGAGGATATTTGTAGCTCACGGATGACTTGTTATTTCCTAGTTTTGGTGTAATTACAATGTTCTAAGGATCTCTCCTGGTGGTTAATGTGCTTAGATAATCTGGAAGATTGGTAGGTTGGAACTGTTAATTTTGTACAGGTCTAAAATCAATCTAAACATACCTTTTTTTTGGAGAATTGGTGCTGGCCTATGTTCAGATTGTGTCCAAACCAAAGTGTGTGCATGTGGACTGCTTCTCTGGTGTGTTTCTAGGACTTTTTTTTGGTGTTAGGAGGGATCCTAAGTTGTGTGTTGAAACTGAATAATGAATTTAACCATGTCCTCTGAGAATTCTACAACTTCTGGGGTTTCAAGAGGTCAAAACGGAATGAGTGGAGGGATGAATATGAGTTACCCCATGGCTGTAATTCCCTTTGATGGACTAAACTACCTTGAATGGTCTAGGGAATTGAACTCTACATTACTATCAGGGGAAATAGGGTATATTAATGGTAAAGTAAAGGAACCAAAGACCGGAAGTACTGAACATGACAGATGGAACTAAGAAAATAGTATGGTAATGTCATGGCTCTTGGTTTTCATGCTACCATAAGTAAGGAAGACTTTACGTAGGTTGAAACAACTTGCGAAATATGGGAGCAAGTGAAATCTACCTATTTGGAGCAGAGGCACTATGCAAAGATATACCAATTGCAAGCTAAATCCTCCACTTGCAAGCAGGGGGAGAGAAGTCTCTTAGTGTACTACTCGAATCTGACATCAATCTGGAAGGAACTAGATCATTATCAAAATGTGAATTGGAAGTGTGATGAAGATGCAAAGGCCTACAAGTCACTTGTCTCATGGCAATGAGTATTTGTTTTTCTTTTAGGGCTGAATCCTACATAGAGTCTATTAGGGTACAAATCTTGGGAAGTAAGGACTTACCTTTAGTTTAGGAAGCTTATGCCTTAATTCATCCTAAAGAGAGTAGAAGAAGTGTGATGAATTATGCAGAGGAGGAGCTGGTTGCACTAGCAGTCTGAAGAGGTACAAAGTCAAATGTCGGAGGCTCTTTTAAGAAGGGTGATTCATAAAAGAGAGTGGATAACAAAGACAAGTTTTGGTGCACTCATTGTCAAAAGCCCAAGCACACTAGAGACACATATTGGGACCTTTTTGGGAAGCCTAAATGGGCTCAGGAATTGAGTAAGAAATCAACATTTGATCAAAGTAAGAAGCCAGCCCAGCAGAATCAGAAAAATATAACTTAGCAAATGTGGCATCTCAAGAGTCTAGTCCCATGGTACCTCAGGAGTAGAACTCTGGTTCTAACCCCAAGGAAGAGATTATCAAATCTTTTTGTGACAATTTGGAATTATATGGTAGGACACTTGGCCAAATGGATTCTGGCCCTACTCTTTCTACCTCCTTTACGTCTATATCAGGTAACATTGCCACTGCTTTCCATATGTCATCTCATACATATGATTCTCCTCGGATAATTGACTCTGGAGCCTTAAATCACATGATTTGTAGGTCAACTTTATTTCAGACATATAACCTGATAAGGTGAGACTAGCTGGTGGATCATTCTCCAGTCTCCACCATAGCCGATCAATGAACCGTTTCCCTTTCTTTCGGACTTACCCTCTCTAATGTGTTGCATGTTCCTAAATTACCTATCAATTTACTTTCCATTAGCAGTATTATTCACTCATTGAATTGTTCAATTACATTCTTTCATTCTTCGTGTGTGTTTCAGGATTTGACCTCAAGGAAGACGATTGGTAGATGAAGTATGGTGGATGGTCTCTACGTGTTGGAGAATAAAGCCGGTCTTGTGGCTACAGATTCCTTAAGTTCATCTAGTGAGAGCCACGCCTATTTATGGCATAGTCGTCTTGGTCATCTTTCCTTTGAGTCATTAAAACATATGTTTCCAAAGTTCTTTAAATCTTTGTTAGTTAGTGAGTTACAGTGTCAGACATGTCAATTGAGCAAACATTGTAGAAGTTCTTTTCCTTCAAGAAATAAAATATTTGAATTTCCATTTCATATTGTTTATTTTGATGTTTGAGACCCTGTTACTCTACTTTCTAAGACTGGATATAAGTATTTCATTACTTTGATTGATGATTACTCTAAATATACTTAGGTTTATCCTAAGCGATTTGGAGATAAAGTGCCAAAGATTGTGAAAGATTTTCAATGCATGTTTTTTACTCAATTCCTGACTGAGATTCATATTTTTCAATCAGACAATGCAAATGAGTACTTCCATAGTGATCTCATAGAGTTCTTTGCTTCGTATCGATCTCTTCATCGAAGCTCTTGTGCTAGGACACCCTAGCAAAATGGTGTCGCTAAAAGAAAGTCGCTATCTTCTTGAAGTGGTTTGTGGCTTATTACTCTATATACATGTTCCGAAATGCCTTTGGATGGATGCTGTTATGTGTGCTGCATATATTATCAACCGTATACCATCTCGGTTATTATAGTATAAAGCCCCACATCAACTGTTGTTTCCTATTCACGGTAAGCTCGATCCTCGTGCCATTCCTTGCATTTTTCTAGGTTATTCTTTATCTCAAAAGGGCTACCGATACTGTGATCTTGCTTCACGCAAGTACTATGTCTCCATGGATGTATCATTCTTTGAGAGTCAACATTTTTTCTCAATCTCTCCTTAGGGGGTGAGTAGGGTTAAGGAGAAACACACCCAAGCTCAATTACCTCCTCTTCTTGGTCCTCCTCCATTTTGTGTCTTCCTTCGCCGCCACAAGAGACAGTAGAGTTCAAGAGCTATGGAACCTAAAACTATGCAACCAACATCATCAGACTCTCAAGAGGTAGATCCTCATCATCAACTAGGTACACTTGTTCCATTGATATGCTTGATCCTCTTGATATTGTCCTATGATCATATCTCACCTTCATATCATGTGTGCTTTTCCTCCATTTATAGTGTTTTTGTTCCTAAGAATATGGTAGAAGCGTATCCAAACCTGAATGGATAGATGCAATGAAGGAAGAAATTAATGCCTTGCACAAAAATGGCACTTGGGAGTTGATAGATCTTCTTGAAGGAAAGGAACAGTAGGATGCAAGTGGGTGTTCACAATGAAGCATGGAGCTGATGGTGTGGTGGAAAGGTACAAAGCCAATTGGTGGCAAAAGGGTTTAAATAGTTATATGGAGTAGACTATGCAGAGACCTTTGCTCTAGTAGCCAAGATGAATTCTATCAGAATCCTCCTTTCACTAGCAGCTAATCTTGACTGGGAACTTCACCAGTTGGACATTAAAAATGCATTCTTGAATGGTGACCTAGAGGAGTTGGTGTATATGACTCAACCTCTAGGTTTTTGTGCCAAAGGTAGTGAGTTGAAGGTGTGTAAGTTAAAAAAAAATCATTATATGGGTTCAAACAATTACATCAGGCCTGGTTTAGTAAGTTTCAATTAACTATACACCAGATGGGGTTCAGACAATGCCAGTCAGATCATACTCTCTTTGTGAAGAAGGGTGAAGGAAAAATTGCAGCTTTAATTGTGTATGTTGATGACATAGTGGTCATTGTGCATTTCACCAGAGACTAGGACATGACACCGACCAATGTTGGCATTTGAAGTATGCAATCCAAAAGCTTATCAATCAAGGCCGATACAACTCTGAGCTAGAGCTACCAGACATGTTGCTACCACACCCGAAAACTTTATTGCATTAAACCTCAACCCACTCATGGGTTTTTGACTATGCAACTTTGTTGATCAATGAAAATTCTCTTTGTATTCATGCTTCTTTTCCAAAGTAATGTACTCGGTTAATCAACGAAATATCTTTTTCATGTCTTTTGCCTTTTCAATAATGGCTTATAAGTGAGTATCAAATCGGGTAATGGTCCATAATAACTAGTATGGGATAAGACCAGGGAGCATTCTTGTCATGATCAAGTGATTGGGACCCAGTCTAACACTTAATGTGTGATCTTAGGAAATAAGGGTGGTCAATTAGGCGATCTAGAACAAGATGTCAAGGGAAGATAAGGCATTTTAACAGTTATGTACCAAGGTCAAGTAATCAATTGTATATCGCAATACAAAAGTCACACATTGCAAGTGCACTTCGTTAGTCAATGCGTACCCTTTTAATTAATCAAAGAAAGGACTAGAGGCCATCTTCGGTCGTTTTATACCTCTCATATACCATTTATCATCCTTAACACCGCTAGTTATYCAGTTGAGATAACTGGGATGCATTATTCAAGGGTTAAAACAAGAGGAGGAAAAGGTAGAATAAGAAAGGTGGAAAATGGGAAGAAGAAAAAAAGGTGAAGAAAAAGAAAATAAAATAGGGGCGATAAGAGCTTATCTGCTTGACATGTGATTCTTTTCATAAGTCACACAATTAAGAAATGATGGGAGGCCATCTTTTGGTTCTTTCCTTTGCCTTTTTTTTGCTTAACCCCCTTTACATTATTAAGTTTCTTAGTCATCCCCTTTAAGCCTTTGTGTTAACCAAATCCTCTCAAATAAACCCTTTCTAGAGGGACGAATGTGGAGAACGCCAATGAAGAATCAAAAAATAGGAAAGCAAAATCATACATTTAGTGGTTGCCATGTGTAGTGGGAAAAGGAAAGGAAAGGAAAGGAAAGAATGTAGTCATCAGATGCAATCAAGTGCCAGAAAAAAAAACAAAAAAGAAAAAAAAAATAGGGGCTACCAAGATCAATCCCAAAATTGGGGCAACCAAGATCAGTAAAAAATTGGGGTAACCAAGATCAATCCCAAAACTAGGGCAACCAAGATCAATAAAAAAAATGGGGCAACCAAGAACAGTAAAAAATGGAGCAACCATGATCAGTAAAAAAATTGGGTAAGCCGAGATTAGTAAAAAAAACTAGGGCGAGTGAGAAAATAGTCGGGTCTTCTCTAAGAAGGACATTCGTCCCTAGTTTCGTTTCACACCACCTATGCATGTTTCATCCTAGGATAAAGTCTTCTTGGATCAAGAAAGAATGTATGAGTATTGATATTGAACGAAATGAAGAGCAAAAGAGGAAATAAGCAATAGGCAAAGAATGGAGGATAAAAGGTGATTCTAAGTCCTAACTATGAACACAAGCATCTGATACCCAGATTAGTTAAATTTTGAGACTCTTTACCATTCATTTCTGAACTCCGTCCTAAACCATGTTTCGTCCTATCTAAGAAGTCCTCCACTCGTGAAAAATTGGCAAAGTGGTACTGGGCACCTTATGGGATGGTGATGGAATAGAGTGCTCCCTAAAGAGTAGGATCAAGCTTTTGCAAAAGAGGAAAAATAAAAAAACAAGGGAAAAGAGGGCATCCCCTTTGAATACACATTTTTCTCAAACTTCCTACTGGCAATCTAAATCTTCCAAGTCACATACTTTGAAAGTTAATTGATTTCTCAATCACTAGATTGTCCCAAGAAAGCCACCAAGTTTAAGCCATGCTAGAGCATTGCAAGGTTCGATTACTCCACTTGTATCAACTTGGGTTAAGCACATCTTTACACAACTCCCATTACTTGCTCAAAATAAAATTTTGACCATGGTCTCGCCATCAAAGTAAACCATGTTTTCTTTATCAAAATTTTTTTGTGTTAAAAAGTATGCAAAATTTGACTTTCTTGAGCTCCCCACTATTAAATCAAATTATGTCTTTCTTCAACTAATAGGGATCCTTTTGTCACTAACATGGAAACCATCATACTCCATTCATCCCTTGCTCCTTGCATTAGGCAATTAAACTTTATGGTATCCGTTGCTTTGTGCAGTCTGTTTCAAGAAATTTACACCTGTAAAATTATCAAATAAATTCATCATACAAATATCTCATCTAAAAACATACATTTTGAAAGTCGTTAACCAAAGTCTTGTCCCGAGCAGTTTACAACCAAAATACTATCGAATAAATCTGCATTTCTCCTCAGTTTAGCTTACACTTGAGAGCCTTTCATCAAAGTCTTGCTTCGAGCAATTTGCATTCGTGCGTTCTCTGCTTCGTGTAGCTCGCTTCGAGCGATTAGCCTTTGTGGCATTCCTTGCTTCGAATAGTTTACAACCATAATGCAATCAAATAAATATGCACATCTTGTTGGTTTAGCTTACATTCTAAGAGTCATTAATCAAAGTCTTTCTTCGAGCAATTTGCCTTCATAGCATTCTCTACTTCGTGCAACTCACTCCGAGCGATTAGCCTTTTGTGGCCTGTCTTGCTTCGAGCAGTTTACAACCATAATGCAATCGAATAAATCTGCACATCTTGTTAGTTTAGCTCATTAGTCAAAGTCTTGCTTCGAGCAATTTGCCTTCATGGCATTCTCTGCTTTGTGCAACTCGCTTCAAGCAATTTGCCTTCATGGCATTCTCTGCTTTGTTAGTCTTCGTGGCATTCCTTGCTTTGTGCAACTTACAACCATAATGCAATCGAATAAACCTGCACATCTTGTTAGTTTAGCTTACATTCTGAAAGTCATTAATCAAAATCTTTCTTCGAGCAATTTGCCTTTGTGGCATTCTTCGCTTTATGCAGCTCATTCGAGCTATTAGCCTTCGTGGCATTCCTTGCTTCAAGCAGTCTACAACCATAATGCAATCGAATAAACCTGCACATCTTGTTAGTTTAGCTTACATTCTAAAAGTCATTAATCAAAGTCTTGTTTTGAGCAATTCGCCTTCGTGGCATTCCTTGCTTCGAGCAATTTACACCTATAATATTATTGAATAAATTTATCACTTACACATCTTTTTAGTTTAGCTTACATTTTGAAAGTCATTAATTAAAGTCTTGCTTCGAGAAATTCGCCTTTGTGGCATTCCTTGCTTCGTGAAGCTCTCTCTTCCCAACTTACCTGGATAGTCTTTTCTTCGGCATTGGAGTCATTACAGGTAAAAAAAGTTTTCCATTTCCCCGTGAGTCCCATCACTCCCTTTTCTATCCAATGATGGGTGGCAGCTCCAGTATTTCAGCCACAAAGTGGGCCACCTTTCGGTGCCCACAGATTGGCGACCCCATTGGGGACAAAGTGAGGATTGTGTAGGTGCCACTTTCCTTCCATTTGTTTTTTTCTTCTCTTTAGTTTGTTTATTTCATTAGAAAAAAAAAACTAGACTATTTTCCTTTTACTCCAATAATTGGGTATTTAGATTGGTTTCAGATTGTGAGTAGGGAGGTAAGGCTACGTGCGGGGGGTCTCCTTAAAGGCTAGGGCAAATGAGGTGATAAAATGATGATCTTGTTATGAGTTGGATCCCTATTTATAGGGAGAGATCCCCAGGTCCTGAAAGGAAGGAGTTAAAAGTGTTTGATTCCCATTAGGAAAGGAAATCTTGGATTCAGTGTCAGTTGTTAGGGAGCACCGTTAGGGTTTCGCCATGTGTCTTATGAGATATCTCAGGGACGAGCTTTCCTTTCGTCTAAGGATTCTCATAATACATGTTTGCTACTTCCTTTCGTGAGCCTCTTAGACTAACGTGGCGTGGGTGACGTCACTACTTATCTCATGTGTCCTCTCTAATCCTATGAGGTGTTCCGTCACACGCGTTATTAGTGATGCACGCGCTTCTTTTACTTGTTTCTGACCTGCGATGAGCTTGAGCTCATCGCATTTGTGTGATGGCTTTAAACTCATCTCAAGTCTATGCGGGTCTTGAGTTCATCGCAGCTCATTTCGGGTCATGAGCTCATCGCATGTCTATGCGGGTTCCGGGCTCATCGCGGATGTACGCCGGGTTATGAACTCATCACAAGCGTTCATGTGGTATTGGTTTAGTACCTTCTATTCTCTCATGGTCTATGCGACTATCATACACCTACACAGATTGAATCTTGATTTTAGTTTTTCTATTTAAGTCGCCCTTTGCAAATTTCTGGCTGGGCTTAGTTTGGGACAAATTGACTTGTTAACCATTTAAGTGGATTGTTTGAGACTCATGTATACAACTTATGGATGAATTCTTTTTAGGACTGAATGTGTAGACTGCATGAAACCATTGGATTAGGTAGGAGTCCCTTGTCATAATAAACATGTTCCGTTGTGCATGCTAAAATACTATACTCTGTTTAAGTAACAGTCCTAATGGATCTTAGCTTGGATTTTGGATTTACAAGAATGCCATGATATCTCATGACTCTTTAACCAAGGTAGTGAAGGCTGCATAAATTAAACCTCCCTTTTACCCCTTGAAGCCTGTTCCCATATTTTGTATTTTTAGCATAACAAGTTAAGATTGCTTTTTGGCTATTAATAAAAGTTTTTGAGAGCTTTACACTATTTCTACTTAGCCTTTCTTTTTGGAATTTCTCTCTCTCTCTCTCTCTCTTTTTTTGCATAATCATCGCATGAATGGGCTTAGATTTGAATAATAGAATATTATTGTCTGTGTTCTGAATTCTCAGAAAAAATGATCTTCTTGGCTTAGTGCTTATTGTTTTGATCTGATATGCTTGGACACAAGGAATTAATCTCTTTGTTGTTTGGCTGACTTAAGCCTTATTGTTGGAAGCCTAGTAAAATAGGGACTGGCATAACAGCCCTAGCAAGATTCTTGGAAGTCTGTGGTACAGAAATCAGTCACTTTGTCTTTACTGAATTCTCAGTCACTTTGTCTTTACAGAAATCAGCTCAACGTGGATTAGATTTGAGTTTCTAACAGTAGTGCTTGATATGTTTTGTGGTGACTCTTGCTTGAATGACTCTTGTGTTGAATGGTGGTCTTGGAGTTGATTGATGATGTGAGGAAGAACCTTCGGAGCTTAGGGGATGGAGTGGAATAATGGATGCATATGGAAGTGATTTTCTTTTTTTTTTGTGCAAGTGACCTTTCCCTTGAACCACCCCAGCCCCCTTCTCACTACTGTAACTTATAGCAGTAAACCAGCCCATGAGCCTACCTCCTTAGAACCCCCCAACTGCTGCAATTCATTGTAGTAAACCAGTCCCAAGAATACCTCTCCCAATCCTCCCAACTGCTGCAATTTGCAGCAGAAAACCTACACCAAGTGACCAAACCAACTCTGAAATCGCTACTAGGAACCACCATGTCTGCTGCAATTTGTTGTGGTTTTACAGAAGAGAACTAACCCTCCAACTGCTGCAATTTTCTGCAGAAAACCAGAAACCAACATAAAACTTACCCCAAAATACTCCCTTTAAACCCTGTCTGCTGAAATTTACAGCAGTAAACCACACCTGAACCCACTCCCTTCACCCCATCCAAATGCTGCAATTTGCAGCAGAAAACTAAGCACTGAACCAGTCCCAAAAACTATCCCCTCTAACCTCTCTAGCTGCTACAATTTACAGCATGTGGGCCAGCCCTGAACCCACTCCATGTATCCCATACAATTGCTGCAATTTGCAGCAGAAGACCAGCATAAAAACAGCCCCAAAACCACTTCCTTCAACCCTTCTATTTGCTGTGTTTTTACAGCAGAAGGCCAGCCTTGAACCCACTCCCTTTACCCCATCCAACTGCTGCGATTTGCAGCAGAAAGCCAGCAACCAACCAGTCCCAAAATCACCACCATAGATGCCTTCTCACTGTTGTGATTACAGCAGCAGTAATTTACCCAAACCCACTGCCTTTACCCCATCCAACTGCGGTAATTTGCAGCAGAAAGCCAGGAACCAACCAGTCCCGAAATCACCACCATAGATCCCTCCTCACTGCTGTGATTACAGCAGAGTAATTTACCCCAAACCCACTTCCCTTAATCCCCCATCTGCTGCAATTCACATCAGTAAACTAGATCTTAACACACTCTCTGCTCCCCATCCAACTGCTGTAATTTACAGCAGAAAACCAAACACCCAATCAGTAATCCAGGCCTGAACCCAACCCAACCTAACTAAACCTAGATGAACCCATCCGTACTCAATCCCGCCTATTTAAGCTTGCTTGAACCCAACCAAACTTAGTCCCAACCTAGGCTGAACCTAGCTAAACTTAGCATAGCTGAAGCCAACCCAACTTAGTTAAACCTAGATAAGCTAGCTGAACCCAATCCAACTAGTGTAAACTTGCCTAAAACCAGTCCAACCTGTTTAAACTTGCCCGAACCAAACCCAGTCTAGCTGAACCTATTTAAACCCTGCTGAACCCAATCCAACCTATTCAAACTAGGCAAAATCTAGTCTCAACCATAGCTGAACCCAGCCTAGTCTGTCGAACCTGGCTGAACCTCATCACCTACTCATGTCAAGTCCTCCCAAATCTAAACGATCCACTCTGACTAAAATCCATCAGAGTTGAACCCGACCTATCAGACATGATTGAACCCAGTCCTATGCAACTCAAACCAGTTAGAAGCTAACCTGACCTATTGGAATACAACTAAACCTGGATCCACCCAACCTGTCCTAACTAAAACCGAGCTCAACCACCTTAGCTGAACCCAATACAACTTAACCCAACCATAGCTGAATCCAACCTAACCTAAGTGAACTTGGATGGACCCAACTGAACCCAATCCAACCTATTTAAACTTGCCCGAACCCAATCCAATTTAATCCAACCATAGGTAAACCTAATCTAACCCAGCTAAACCCGATTCAACCCATCTAAGCTTACCTAAACCTAGGCCCAACTTAACCTAACCCAACCTAGCTAAACCCAGTCCAACCCATCTAACTTACCTAAACCTATACCCAACCCAACCTAAGGGCTGGCCACTTTTGCATCAAGAAATAGGTAAGCCCTCTCAAGTAAAATCAGTGTTCTTCATTTTCCTAAGGGCTGGCAGATTGGCCTTTCACGTTTGTACTCTTGCCTTCCTATGTGGGCATCTGATCCCAAGAGAGGTGTGAAAGGGGGGAAACCCCAGTACCACCCCCACTCATTGGGCTTTGGTTTGAGGAGGGCAGAGTTCAGGTGGTTGAAATCCCAATCCTTTTTATTTTTTAATTTTTGTTTTGTGTCCGGCCAAGCATGTGTCTAAGCATAGGAGGGAGTGGGGAACCCTCCTGGTTTGAGACAAGCTGAGAAGATTGGTGAATTTGAACCCTCTCTATTTATCTTGGCATCTTGTAGATAGCATTGGATAGCTTAATTCTTAGACTTTGGTCCTAACTCTCTATCCTACAATTGTTTTTGTCTTGTTACAATTATGTTTTGATTTATTAGACATTAAATTTTAATTAGTTTCATTATGCAAGGTTCCATTCATGTGTTTGTTGTTTTATGAGGCAAGCTTGAGCTGTCATTGCAAGAAGAGTGCCAATAACCAATTGGGTTGCTCTTTGATCTAGAAGTCCTTAAAAAAATATTGTTTTTAGTTGTAATGAAATGGACAACCCTTAACTGCTGAAATGTTAAGAGTACCAATAACCATTTAACTGCTGAAATGTTCTTGAGCGTTAGTTTTTTATTTTTTCTCTTTTCTGTTTTGTTTTTCTCTTGTAGTAAAGTGGATATCTGATTCAAGGGCCCACTATCTTATTTATTCTCGGTATCATCTCTTACTTGGACTGTTAATGGCTCTCAACTGTTATAATAAGTGATTTTTTATTTTTCAGATTATCAATACACTACCTTAGAACAATTTTCAGATTACAAAACATTCTTGAATATTCAGATTCTATTAGTGGCTAGGTTGTTAGGTTTGGGAGCGAATCATGTGCCTTACAAGAATAAGAAATAGTTTTTTGTGTACGGTATAGGAACTGTTAATGGCTTTCAACTCCTGTATCGAATGGGATCAATTTCCACTCTCATGTAAAAATTGACTAGTACCTTTTCCTTCTCTTTTTTGGTAGTTAATCCCAACATGCTTTTAGCCCATACTCTTGTATATAATGTTTCATCATAATTTGTTTTTTATTCCCTTGCACTTTTTCGTGTTAAAATACAAACTCCACTAATTAGCCATTTACCCTCTTCATTATCGTGAGAATGGCACCCACATTGAAAAGAGAGAGGGGTGCCTAACCCCTTCCCTCTCTCTTCCCAACTTACCTGGATAATCTTTTCTTCGACATTGATTTACAGGTAAAAAAAAGTTTTCCTTTTCCCCGGGAGTCCCATCACTCCCTTTTCTATCCAATGATGGGTGGCAACTCTTGTAATTCAGCCACAAAGTGGGCCACCTTCCGGTGCCCACACCTGGAGAAGTAAGAAGCAAAGTGTGGTGGATAGGTCCAGTGCTGAAGCAGAATATAGAGCTATGTCTCATGGAGTTGCTGAAATCATGTGGATAAAACACCTGTTAGGTGAACTGGGTTTTGTGGTGGACAAGCATTTTATTAGAGAAAAAACATGGGAGTGAAGTGTGCACTCCAAATATCAGCTTAGAAGAACAACTTGCAGACATTTTCACCAAGGGCCTTCATCATGTGTGACATAATAGTTTGTGTGACAAGTAATCATGATTGACATCTATGTCCCAACTTGAGGAGGAGTGTTGGAATAGTTTACTTTACATTTATGTTTTTATTTTTCTTAGTTTGGGTCAGTTTGTTCTGTTTAAAATAGTTTTTTATCAATGTTTATGTACTTTAACTACGTTAGGGGCACAAGGGTCTTTTCCCTTTTAATTATAGTTGCACTATATATAATATTATAGTTTGGCACCGCTAGACTTAGTTCTATTTGCCAAACAACTCTCTCTCTTTCCTTCTTCTTCTTGTTTCCTACTATTATTTCTTTGTTAAGAACCATCTAATTTCAGACCAGGACCTCATAGTCTCGGAGGTTGTTTCCTATTTCAAAGAGCTCTACTCGTCTGACAGGGTCTGGAGACCTAGCCTAACAGTTTGGGAAGGATCAAAATTATCTCAAGAAAGTAGAACCTGGCTGGAGAGGGAGTTCAGTGTGGAAGAAATAAAAGCTGCAATTTTTACTTTAGATGAGGATAAGGCCCCATACCCTGATGGGTTTTCCTTGGCTTTTCATCATGAATGCTGAGATATATAGTGAAAGGGGATTTGCCAGAAGTGTTTGAGGATTTTTACAGTTCAGCCATCATCAATAAGGGTACCAATTCCACCTTTGTCAAGCTCATCCCCAAGAAGATCAGTTCTTTAGGGGTGAGAGATTTTTGACCAATCAGCCTCTTGGGTAAACTTTATAAGATCATATCTAAGGTTTTGGCAAATTGGCTGAAAAGAATTATCAGCGAGGTAGTTGCTTCCACTCAAAGTGCTTTTATTAAAGGGAGACAGATTGTTGATGGTGTGTTGGTAGCAAATGAGATAGTGGAAGATAGAAAAAACAAGGCCAAAAAGGGGTGGTCTGTAAAATTGACATTGAAAAAGCTTATGATAGGCTGGATTGGAATTGCCTATGAAGGATCTTAGAGCTGAAAGGTTTTGGTAGCACTTGGATTAATTGGATGAAGGGTTGCATCAGATCAGCTAGGTTCTCCATCCTAATCAATGGGAAGCCCAAAGACTTCTTTAAGGCTTCAAGTAGATTGAGACAAGGATGCCCTCTCTCCCCTTACTGTTCACAGTTGTGGCTGATATTCTTGATGCCTTTATGTCTAAGGCAGTAAATCTAGACTGTTCTAAAGGCTTTATGGTGGGGTGAGATAATATCCACATCACTCATCTTCAATATGCTGATGGCACAATCTTCTTTGTAGAGGGTAAGAGAGAATATATCCACAATCTCAAAAGCATCCTCAAGTGCTTCGAAACAGTGACAGGGCTGAAAATCTGGAGAAGAACAGCATCATTGGTATGCACATCTCTCAACAAGAGTTGGCAAAGCTTCAAAGGACGTTGGGTTGTAGATAGAAACTTGGCCAATCAATTATTTAGGAGTCCCTTTCGGTAGAAATCCTAGATCTGATGTCTTCTGGCAACTTCTCATTGAGAAAAGTGAAAGAAGGCTGGAAGTCTGGAAAAGCAATTACATTTTCTAAAGGGGGTAGGTTCACCCTAATCAAAGCAGCTCTCTTTGACCTCCCAACATACGTCCTTTCAGGATTTAAAATCCCAGTCCGAGTTAGGAAGCACTTAGAAAAATGCAGCGTAACTTCCTATGGGATGGTCTTGATGGAGGGGGAGAAAAAAGAAATCACTTGGTCAAATGGGAAACAGTGTGTAAACCAAAGAAAGGAGGCTTGGGGCTTGGGGCTTGGGGCTTGGGCACATCATAGATAGAAACAGGTCCCTTCTCGGAAAGTGGATTTGGAGATTTAAGACAGAACAAAGTGCACTTTGGACAGCAGTGCTTTAGAGTAAATATGGAGAAAATCATTTGGAAAGGGGTAGCTGACGCAGAACGGAAATGAAACACGTGAGAGAAGCTTCAAAGAAAAGAGCAGAAGTCGAATTTTAGGAAGAAGAATTATTCACTAAACAATTAAGAGAAAATTGATAACAAGAGAACTCCCTTAGCCTTCCCCTAGCTACTCTTTATATAGGCATACACCCTTATGTCTCCTAATTCTAATATGAAAACACTCCTTAATAGAATCCTACTAAAACTCCTTAAAAAATAAAATCCTAATATAAGAAAACACTCCAAAAATAGAATCCTACTAAAATCCTTCAAAAGGAAAGCCCTAATTGAATATAAATTTGAAATAATGCTATCTTGGTAAAAATGAACTAAGATGGAAACTCTGAGATGGCGCCAACTTGGTAAAAACGTATTAAGATAGAATTCCTGTGGTGATGCTATATCGGTAAGTATTTACTAAGCTGGGTTGGTGGCGTCATTTCTGCTTCTTATGTGTCTTGGAATGGTCCCAACTTGCGTAGAACTTATCGGCCTTCTCCTATACTGCATTATCCTCTTCCCCTATATGTACTAAGATGGGCCTTTGAAAACCAACTTTGTAAATGTTTACTCAGTTGGTCTGAATCCCGTACTGCATCAGTAGCACTCCATTGATTCCAAACTACTCACTTGCTAACCCTTGGAAAGGTATTTTTACTACCCAAAATACTTTCGCCTCCTTCATTAGATACAGATTGGATAGTGGAAATAAAATAAAATTTTGGACTGACCTCTGGTGGGGAAACAATCCCCTATCAGTTTCCTTCCCTTCCCTGTCTTCCTTAGTAAGAGATAAAAATTCTCTGGTCTCCCCAACCATCCTTTTGGCAAACAACCAAGTTTCTTATAATTTTAACTTCCATAGAGACTTAAGAGAATCGGAAGTCTCAGACATTTCACGACTCTTCTCCTTGATCTCAGAAGTCTTCCTCACCCCCTCATCTCAAGATAAGCTAATTTGGTAACTCACTCCCTCAGGCCAGTTCACCCCCAATTCCTACTTTCAACCCTTCCCCCCCAACCTTCCCAGACAAGGATTTGGCTCTCCTTTGTTCCCCCCAAAGTTGCTTTCTTTGTCTGGGAGGCAGCCTGTGGCAAGCTGAATACCTGTGACATCCTACAAAAGAAATCTTTGGGAAAAAGATATGTTTCCCCCCCATGTTTTTTTCATGTGCTTTGAGAATGGAGAGTTAATTGGCCACTTATAATCAACTGCAGCTTTGCCAGAATTCTCTGGCAATTTTTCTGGATGCACTTCTAGGTGGAAACTACAACTGGACTCCTCCAAACTCAGTCACTGATTTTGTTACCCAGTGGACCAATCCAAAGATGGGGAAAAGAGTATAACTCTTTTGGAAAGCAGTAATTCATGCTGTGATGTGGGGAATCTGGGAAAAAAGGAATAGAAGAATCTTTGAAGACAATTTCTCCTTGGATAGTGTTCGTGAGAAGATCTTATCAAAATTATTTTCTTGGATGCTGGTCCACCAGCTCTTCGAAGGGGTGAACAAAGGGGAGCTACAAAGAAACTGGCTGCAAATCCTGTTTACTTCCCCTTCCTCTCCATCTGTTCCGAATCTTCCCCCCAAGAAGGGACAATAAGGGACTGTAATTACTTGCTGTAGTTTGATGGCAGTTTTAGAAAGTTGTTGCAGCCTTCATCAGCTGCTGGAAAAGGGGGTACTGTGAGAAACTCTACAGGAGATATTTTATGGCAGAAGCTGAAGTCCGATATCTTCTAGAAGGTTTAAGAATTGCTAAGAACAATCATTTCAGTCCATTAGTAGTAGGAGACTCAAGAATTACTATCAAGTGGGCAAAAGATTTGGATGAGGGTCCTTGGAAGCTAGCTCACCTCCTTGCAGAAATTCACAAGCTTTCTTCTTTGCTGAACTGCTCCTTTAGATGGATTCCCCGGGAGATCAATAGAACTGCAGATGCCTTAGCAAAGCAAGGGTTGGGAAGGGATTTCTTGTATAGTGCTAACTCTTTGCTATCTTTAGTTTGATACAGGCTTTTCTTTTTGTGCTTTTTGGCCTGTTTGTACATCTCTTATGTACAT